CACCTTGTTGTCTCGGATTCTCCAGCATCTGCAGTTCCTACTATCTCTAAGACTGGGAGGATATTTGACGGAGGTTTTCAAAATCATGAGTAGACTGGACAGAATAGATAGAGAGAAGACTTGCTCACCAAAAACGGGAACAAATTTAAAGTGATATGCAAATGAAGCAAGCATGATATGAGAAAAGCCTTTTCACACAGTGGGCAGTTAGTGTATGGGATGCACTGCCTGGAAATATGGTGGAAGCAGATTCAATTGAGGCATTTAAGAGGGCATTGGATAGATATTTAGATAGAAATTAAGTGCAGGTATGTCAGGATCACTAGTCCACAGGCCAATGAACCTTCTATTGCTGACAAAAGCTGCGTTTGAACACACTTCAGCTCCAAATTATCAACAACTCAAAATCCAATTACTGCTTGTTCAACAGCTATTTATATGATGTCTTGGATGAGTGTCATGTTGCTTACTTTTCGAAACATGTAGCAGCCTTGAGAAACACTAGTTTTAAAACATTTGTTTCTCAATCCAGTCTACAACTTTCTTTAAAAATACACAAAAATAAAACAACACAGTCCTTATAATAGTTTACACCAAAACTTTAGTCAGGCTATGGATGAGACACCATCTGAAAAATTTGGGGATCGGAGTAAGGGCAGTAAAGTCAGAAATGCTCCCTGTAAATTCACAAGGCTGTGGCAAAAATGTGAAACAGTTGCTATCAGGAGAAATTTGAACTACTTTAGGCTATTTCCATTGGAGTTGAAAAAGCTAAAAGGAAATTGGATTTCCAAAATTGTGGTGAGTTTTGATTAGGAAACAATCATTTATTTGATTTTGTTATTCTGTTATGAGGGAATGTCAATATAAATTGATCATGAGGACAGTGAGGAGAGACAGTAGGAGAAATTTGTCTGACAAAGATCTCATCTTTGAAGTCGAGTTTGGACAAGCATTTGGAGCAGAGGTAAATGAAGGCACACAAGGAGATTGAGTAACTTTGGACTGCCCCAGTAGACACTGAGCTCAAAAAAGTCTGTTTGGTGGTACAAATCTCTGGAATGATTTTGCATTATATTTAGATCTCAGTCTCAATTTTCTGATGGATTTATATGTGGGAGTTGGCATAACTGAAATTCAATGCAATGGAGGATTGCCTTTGAGCTGTTACATTAACTTCCTGCTTATTTTCTATTCTAACATTTCCTGTCGGAAGACATAGCACAGAATGGGCCTGTTAGATTCCTTAAAAGTAGTGAGGAACGAGTCCATGATCTTTTTAAATATCTAACTTTATTTCTTATTAGATGTCGATCAGGCAGTTATAAGTTAAGACCTCTCCAGCAGCAATTCCTTCCGTGTTTTTATACTTTTTTTTTCCTTGATCCTCCTAAAACCACAAACTGTTCTCCATACCCTAACCATGAGGTCGAGGCCACGGTCTATTTTTGACATATGTTCATGACTGCTTCAAAAGATGATCAGAGGATTAGATAGGGTGGACAGTGGGAGCCTTTTTCCTCGGATGGTGATGGCTAGCACGAGGGGACATAGCTTTAAATTGAGGGGTGATAGATATAGGACAGATGTCAGAGGTAGGTTCTTTACTCAGAGAGTAGTAAGGGCGTGGAATGCCCTGCCTGCAAAAATAGTAGACTCGCCCACTTTAAGGGCATTTAAATGGTCATTGGATAAACATACGGATGATAATGGAATAGTTTAGGTTAGATGGGCTTCAGATAGGTTTCACAGGTCGGCGCAACATCGAGGGCCGAAGGGCCTGTACTGCGCTGTACTGTTCTATGTTCTATGTAAATGATTTCAACCGTACCTGCAAGCTCCCTTTTTGTCTTAGCATTTGCAGTTCAACCCTTGTTATGCTGTAGCTTAATCACACAATTTTCAATATACTCCACACTTTTTGATTCTTCCCAAACAGAATTACACAAGCAAAGCAAGCTAACAATAATATCTAGGTTCCCTATACCAAAATTTAGGCTTCAGCATTTGTTGAATACAACATTTAAGCAACATTAAGAAGGAATACAGATTAAGAATCACAACAACAAAAAGTAATATAATCAACAACTCCATCTTGGGCTTTTGTAACATTTCTTATCAGGCTTCAACTTCAGTCACTGGTTGCTCATCAACATCATAAATGAACACAAAATTTCCAAGTTCACTTTTTCGAGGTATCAGTATGTCATAATTTTTTGGGCCATTTCATTTCAGCTCACTACCACTGTTTTAAAGTCAGTTTCTCTATGGATTATGTGTCAGTGTCTTATCATTTAAACTATGCCCTTGTGCTCTCCCAAGCTACACTAATCCATTTCTCGAGTAGGTGTACATCGCTGAGGTCTGTTCTTCAGTGCAATTTTTTTTACCATGCATTCACTCATGTTTGCTACTTCCGAGGTAACACTCACTTTTGCACGCTTACATTAGTATCCCAAGACCGTATCATGCATTTTTGAGTCTCATATGATCTTACCAAAAGACCTATGAGATTTTACTTATCGCTCCATGTACAGTTCCAAAGCCTCAGGTATTGTCACAATCACCAAGTTCACCAAGAAAAGACAAGGGCACAAAAATATCACCAAGAGAAAGCTATCAGTTTAGTACTTTCACCTAAACTTTCCTCTTCACTAAAATGCATGTTAATTTCAATTGGCATTTCAACCCATTATTCTAATTTGTTTTTCTTCTGCCACTATTCTCTGTTTCTAATTACTTCATCTCATCCAATTTTGCCATTTAACTATTACTATCTATTTAATTCCAGAAATCTGGAGAGATCTTTAGTCCGTGGTAAATTACCTTATAGTATTTTAAAACAGAAGTCAGACATTTCTGTTTGATTCAGACAAAACATACTTTGTTCATTCTTTCTCTAAGATGACCCACAGATTTTAAACTTACTGTATAGCTCTTTCTAGATATTTGATGTATCTTCATGCAAATTTGTCCAAATTCAAAATTCTGTTTACTACCCCAAAGTCACAAACAATTTTTATGCATTGAAATTCCTAAATGTTTTCGCAGTAGTTCTTCAATGCTGAGATATGTTGTTAATGAATTGCTTGATGGTTTGAGGATGCC